CGACGCGCACGACCTCGGCCGGGCGCTGCGCCGCGCGCGCGCCGCGGGCCGCGCGCGGCGCCACGGCCGCCGCGCGCCCGCGCGCGAGGCGGGCCACGCGGCGCGCGCGGCCGCGCTCGGCTCCCCGCGGCTCGCGGACCTCCTCGCCGGCGCCGCGGCGCCCAGCGCGATCTAGGGGCGTCCCTAGAAGCCGCACGCGGGGAAGAGCGCGCGGAGCGCGGGGCCGAGGACGCGCGGCTCCTGCCGCTCGTCGACGAGCGCGGCGCCGCGCGCCGCCATGGCCGCGCGCGCGGCGGCGGCGTGCGGCTGGAGCAGGGCCGACGCGCAGTCGGCGACGCGGCCGTAGGGCGCGAAGACCACCGCGGACGCGAGCTCGCGCTCGAGCGCGGCGTCCCCGCCCGTCTCGGAGACCGCGGGGAGCCTGCGCGGACGTTCGACCCGTGAGCCGGGGCGGCCACACGCGAGAACCCTGATCCTTGGACGAGTCGACGCTCCTCGACGCGCGGCGGAGGCGCGCGCGTCGAAGCTTCGATGCCCGCGCCGCGGGGAGCCCCGCGCGGAGGTAGGCGAGGAGCCGCACGACCTCGACGACGCTCCGGTCCGCGTGGCGGTGCACGTTGAGGCCCGCGGCGCTGCCCGCGAGGAGCGCGTCGCGGTCGCCGCCGAAGAAGCCCTCGGCGACCTGGGGCGGCGCGCGGCCGCGTCGCCGTCGCGCGCGCGCGACCCCGGCCCGCGCGCGTCGGGACGAGCGACCGCCGCTCGGCGCGGCCGCGCGCGGCGCCGCGGCGCCGAAGCACCCGGTCGGTCGGCGCCGCCGGCGACGGCCGCGCGCCAGCCCGCGGACTCGAGCGCCGCCGCGACGCGCACGCGCCGGTCGACGTCCAGGCCGCCGACGTGCACGAAGTCGAGGACCTCGCCGCGGGCCGCCGGCGGCCGGGCCGCCGCGGCGCCGACGACGCCCGCGGGCTTGGAGAACGCGCAGTCGACGCCGTGCGACGCCCAGAGGTCCGCGTTGCGGTAGCTGTACTCGAGCCAGGGGTAGGCCCGCGCCACGGCCGCGTCGAGCCTGGGGGTTTCCGGGGTTCGTTCGGGGGGCCAAGGTCGGGTCGCGCGGCCGCGCGCGCGACGAAGCCGCGGTAGTCGTCGACGGTGACGCCGAGCGCGGGCGCGTCCGTCGCGGCCGCGGCGGCGAGCGCGGCGGCGCCCGCCTCCCGGACGGCGGCGTCGCCGCGGGGGTCCGTCGCCGCCGCGGCCGCGGCCGCGGCCGCGGCGTCGCGGTCCGCGGACACGAGCTGCTCGAGGTTCACCTGGGCGGGAACGGGGTGATGCGACGTCGCTTCGAGGTGGGCGTTTCGCGCAGCACACGCATCCACGCGTCGAGAGCGCTCCGAGAGCCGATCGCTCGTCCAAACATCAGCCGAAACGAGCGGAACACGGCCGAGATCGAAGCCTTTGAAGTTGGGAACGTCGCGCCCGTTTCCCGCCCCGAGGCTCGCGAGCACGGAGCCGCGCGGCAGCGCGGCCGCGTGGGACGCGTTCGCGAGGTTGCCGTTGAGCACGAGGTGCTGGCGGTCGCCGCAGTCCGGGACGGTCGCGAGGCAGTGCGACAGCGTGCCCGCGACGACGTCGGCCGCGCCGAGCGCGCGGAGGCCCTCGGCGAGCGGGTCCGAGACGTCGCGGAGGATGGCGCCGCAGTTGAAGTGGTCGAGGCAGGTCACGGCCCAGGACGTCGGGCAGGCGCCCGAGCGCAGGGACCGCACGACGCCGCCCGCGGGCGGCCGCTCCC